CACCCCTGCTCTAGTGCGTGGGTATGCAACTCCAGGCCTCAAGGGCCTTTTGTTATTGAGGAGTAGAAGCTCTACTCTGACTGAGTTCCACGCTGGGCAACAACACACAACACTTAAACATACTGAAGAGTAAAAGTTTTCATATTCACCAATAAAACCCTAAAACATGACCATTTCATTACATTTCCATTTACAGCACATTTGTAAAATTGCACTGAGCATCATTACGTTACACAATCGAAATCTATAGAATGACTGCTGGCCTGCTCCGTCCTTGTTTTTGTTTATCACACCAACACACGTCTGTCACCGTCATGCTCCAGTCAACCACATATAGGTATTGCTTAAACACACATAGGCGCACGCACAAAAACACACAAACCAGAGAGGCGGAGTAAATATGTGTTTTGTCGATAACTGTCCAGCAGAGCAGACTCACGGCATTGCTGATGTGCTGACTTCAGGACTTCAGTGCTTCACTTTTGCTGAGATAAAGAATTTGGGCCAGTTAAATCTTATCGTTGTCTATTATGTGTGTGTGTCAGTGTGTGTGCTCATTCATGTTGTAGTGCACTAATAGTGACTGCGCACGCTGTCTTCAGAGGCTCCTGATTGTTAGCTGGTTATGTTATTTTTACCTGATATTACCTTTTTGTTGCCAGATGTTGTTCACAAATTTAGGCATATGCTGTCAGCAACACACACACACACATAAACACACACACACACACACACCCTCAGCAGAACAAAAGCACATCAGTGTATTAGCAAAGCAGATTTTCTCTTTTTTCAGGCTGAGGAAGGAGGTGCACTCTAATACACAACAATCAGAATGTCCATTAACAGGATCCTGCATGTGGATTCACTTACGGTTTGAGCTAAGATTTAAAAAGGGTTTTAACTCAAGTAATTGTGTATTTGTGTGTGGATATGCACACAAAATGTCACAGTGGTTTGCTTTATATCAGCAGTGATACAGAATAAAAAGAATCAATTCTTAAAGAGAAAATTGGTCTGAATATGTATTTTTCACAGAGACACAGAAGACTGCTGTCCTCTGGCACTGTTTGATCAAAACATGAAGAAAACAAGTTTGAGAAAATGTTCACCCCATTAGTGTCACTGTAGCAACTTTTGAAATGTATAAAAATACTTAGGCCACTTTCTGTCAACCTTGTCTGCCCCCTTTCTGAGTACAGAAAACCTCCTTTTATGTTATACTGTCAGGGCTCTGCTTGAGAATGTCAGCCATCCCATCTACAAAAGCAAAGAAAACCCACTGTTTTTCACCTCCGGTCTCTTACTTTGAGAGTGCTTCTATTACTTTTACCCTGAAGTGCAACGCTCCTGCTGTCAGTTTTCAGCTCAGAAGAAGTCTGGACAGGCAGCTGAATCCTGTTCTGTAAAGTAAAGCCTTGGTTATGATATGAAGAGTATGAAAGACTCGGTGTAAAATGATGTTTGGACATATTTTCACAGCTTGTGGTTATATTATACCTTTACCTGCAAGGGAACATATGACATACTAATGTACTTGGGTGTAAATAATATTTGTGTAAATGAGTTACTGTCAGGCATGGAGGCATTTTACATTATTTAAACTGCAGGTGGGGTCATAATAGAAAAAAGGTACTTTGTGTTTTGTGTTGCCCAACTAATTCAGCAGGCAAACATGGTGTTACACATGATTTGATAGGCCAATGTGCAAGTAGCGGTGAAATGTCAGCTGGCACAGAGAGAGTGTCTCCTGGAAGGGTTTGTATATTGTTGTACTCTGTTGTGAACATGGAAGTACAGCTCAAATCCAGCTCAAAATTCCCAGAGCTCGTCAATCACAGCGTGAAGGCGGTGTGGTTTTAGTTTAAGTTCATTTCTAACAGCATACATTAGACTACTGGCTTTATCACCAAACCAAGTCCATACAGATTTTTATATGTTTGTATTTTTTATTCTCTGACATTTCCTTCCCTGACACCATCACAAGGAAAGAATGAAATCTGAACTCTCCTAAACCAAATAACAGTTTTTATCAGTAAATTTACTGATAAATATTTACGACCGTGGCTCAGGGGGTTGGGAAGCGCATCTGTAACTGGAAGGTCGCTGGTTTGATCCCCGGGCTCTCTGTCCTGGTTGTTGTGTCCTTGGGCAAGACACTTTACCCTACTGCCTACTGGTGTTGGCCAGAGGGGCCGATGGCGCAATATGGCAGCCTCGCTTCTGTCAGTCTGCCCCAGGGCAGCTGTGGCTACAACCGTAGCTTGCCTCCACCAGTGTGTGAATGTGAGAGTGAATGAATAGTGGCATTGTAAAGCGCTTTGGGTGCCTTGAAAAGCGCTATATAAATCCAATCCATTATTATTTAACCAAACTACAGTAAATATCTAATGAAGTGAGAGTGGAAAACTTATCTCAATTAAGTGTAAATATCATTGTTCTCGTGTGAGATCTGACCAATGTGAGTGACTTACAGAAAATAAACTAAATATGAATAATAACCCAAAATGAAAGTCACATTTACTATATTTGCAGCCAATGTATTTTGACTTCTAACCATCACATTTTGAAATGTCTTCTACTAGAAAAGACAATCTAAGAAGTGATCTTCTAGCAAATGGATGAGGAAACAGCACAGGTCAAACTAAAGTTGACAGCATTTTTTATTCAACATATTGAATTAGAATACAGTCAGTGTCAGATCATTAACATATAACATGGTGCAGCTACAGGTTTTTAATCTTCTGGTGTCCAACAAAAGTTTAAGGCAGTTAAAAAGTGAAGGGTGGAAATGAGCTGTTGGGACAGGGAAACAGACACACAACTAGAATGAATGTTGTCTTTTCATATGAAATAAAATGCGTGATGTGTACAGCACTCGCTCCATCTGTCACATCTATTTGAAATTTCATCCATATTTTCAAGACTTCTATCAATATTTCTCAAACTGTTTTCCTCTGACAGGCCTTGTGATTGTGGCATAGAAAGACAGACAAGAAGAGAATACACAAGCATGTGCGAAAAAACACAATGAGAGAAACCAAGAGCAGAACACACATTTCTCAAAATAAGACACTGCATTAGAGTTACAACGTTACTTGGGAGGTGGATTGTGGAAATGAAACACTGTGCTCTGAAGTGGAACACGAAAAAGACAGAAAGAGAAATGGTGCGTTAATACTTCCACAAAGACAAAAGGTGGGCAGAACAAAATCCTCTTCCTATTACAGTAAAGGCTGATGTAGAGAAAAAAGAAATTATGTTCCGCTTTTGTACCACTGTTATAAATGTTCATACAATTTTCATATCACCGACTCTGGGGAGGAGAGGCCTCATTGGAGCAGCAACATGGGAGAAAAACAGTCACAGTTAAAACCTTAAACACTTTCATCAGCAGTGCAGTCAGTCCAAAATGAAACAGGGACTGCAAATCATCTATAATTTTCATCACCTTTGTGTTTTTTTCATTGTACAATTTTCTGGATCAACTGTCCACAGGCACTGTCTTCATCATCTTGACAGAAACTGCTCGACTTTGAGGGGTAAAGTTTCTTCGATGAAGGTGGGGAAACGCACAGGCAAACGTTACACAACTGGTTTGATTCCATGTTCATTTGAAGTTCATCACCGGATGGTTATGTGTCAGATTTAATCGTTAGGAGTAGATCACAGCCAGACATTGTAATGCTTCTCAACGTTGCAGTCACAGAAAACCTAGAAATCTCCATATCTACAGGGAGAAAAACACACAAAGTAAAGCAAGTGTAGATAAAGATATACCTGAATCCTACAAATCACCCGGTGC